GGGGAGGGGGCGTCACTTGCACAGAGGGAGGGGGGTGCAGTGTATCATGGCGTGATCACATGTACCGGGCGTGCGGCGTGCTGTGGCGCGATCTCGAGTGCTTTACGCACGATCAGCCGCAGCCGCAGGATGCCCTTGCGGGCAGCCGCCTGGTCGTTGATGTCAGCCGGCATGCAGTGTGGCATCAGATGACACAAGACAGCATCAACAAGACAGCGTCAGATTGTGTTGGATCGGGATATGCGTGATCCAGCCGCACCTTGTTTGTCACCGCCGCCACTTCCTGGCCCACCCCCATGAACTCAGCCAGGAGGTCCAATGAGTCATTCACAGTGATGGTGCCTTGTCGAGGGGTCGAGAAGATTTGTGGAATGTCACCGGGGAGAGGGTGGTTGGTGCATATGTGTGTGCACAAACTGCTGAAGGACGGACGCGCCAACAGCCGTGCGCGCCGCTGGCTGAGAGCACCGCAGGCGTCTCCATAACGCGTGCAGTCCTCTCGGTGGCGAGGGCAGTAAGCTATCTGCCACCACCGTCCTGGTTGGCAAGGGGTCGGTGCTTGTGCGCAGCGGCACCAGCTGCAGGGCGTGCGGGACGCCGCCCGCCAGCAGGGACGCGTCTGCGCTGCACTGACACATGCGGCGGGAGATGCCCGGGATGCAGCAAGCACCTTGATCGCCCTCGCCACTGCTTCAAAGGACCCTTAGGGAACGACACTGCAAATAATAAGGGAAACCATGGACTCACAATCCACGTCGAGGCAAACGGCGTTGCAGCTTCGCCAGAGCTTGAGCACTCGATCCGTCGGCTCCAGCACAGGCGCGCCGTTGCCGGTCGTCGCGGCAGCTGCCGCCGCCGCCGCCGAGGCGCGCACCAAGAGGCCGCGACCGCGCGCGCCGCGGCGCGCCGCCGTGGCGGGGCTGCTCAGGCGTGGGTCGGCGCGGCGAGCCGGGGCATATGCCGTGCGGCTGCGGGCCAGGCCGGACACGGCGCGGGGGGCCGCCGCAGCGGCGGCCGTGCGGGGCCCGTGCGCTGTTCGGGGCAGAGATTGCAGGTTGCGCATCTCGGCGCGGCCAGGCGGCGCCTGCAGCAGGCGCTGGCCGAGCAGGGTCATCGCGCTCCGCTCAACTTCTGCGGCGCTGCACGAGCGCTGGGTGAGAGACCTGGGACCGAGCGTATGTTGCGCCTACACTCAGCTTTTTCCCAAACACTTTGCGATCGTTGCTGTCACAAGGCTGCGCGCCAGGGCACCCAGATCGTCAACGCCAGAGTAGCTTGCTTGGCCACAGTCAGCGCCGGTACCTGATAAAAAATACTCAGCGCCCTCTTTGCGACTTCTACATCTTGAGTCGCAGCTCGTATGATCTGGTGAGTGCAGCCCGTTGACAGTTGACGGTCGTGAGGTTTCCGCTCCCGGGCGAGCCAGACAGGAATTGTGGCATCCTCGAAGCAGATGTCATCCTACGTCGGCACCGGCCCTCACAGGTATCATAGCGTACAGGGTGTTGACCGCAATGGGTTGGCACTGCTGCGCCTGGCGATGCTGCGCGCTGCCATCACATACGCAACATCAAGTGCCCATCTTGCCCAGGCCACCTGCTGAATGTGACACGACGCCTCCTCACGCCCCAGTGCAAAGGGTGTGTTCAGCCCAGAGCGCATCCCCCTAGGAGTCCTTGCACTGCAAGAGTGCCACTCTCTTGGTTGCGGGCATTGGCACCCTGGCACTGACTACGCAACCTCACACAAGAGGCAGACCAGCCAGCAGCCGCAGCAAGGCCAAGCCCCGCGAGCGAGTGCAGGTGTGCATGTGTTACAAAAAGAGGTGTAAAGGGTCACGGCCAAGCGGCTCCCAGCGCGGGGGCGCTGCACCATGCTGCGCTTTGCACAAAAGCGTGACCCACGCTAAAGCTCCCCCCTGCAGCTTACGAGGAGCCAGCCGTGACAGACCGCCGAAAGCAGGCAGGACCTTACGCGTCGCAGCCTGAGGGGTGCGTTTGCCCAGCGTGTAGGCACCGTTTGCGTGCATTTGAGAGCCACACACGGCAATGATCGGGCATGGGCCGTCGGCCTGACTGCATGTGCTGCTTGCGCGCCGCAGGTGCGGCTCGTCTGATATCGAATGAAGGGCAGCCGAGCCCTGACACGCCCGCCAAAAAAGGGCGCTGCGCAGAACGCAGCGCCGGCAAACCGTTGCTGCGAGCGGCCGCCACGCGACACGGCGCGGCGCAGAGCTGGGAATGGAGGGCCTCATCTTGACAAGTCCATGTCCGCCACGCCGCCGCCGCCATACGCCTGATACCCCCCTCCCCCGCCGTTCGCCGCCGCGTACCCGCCGCCCCCGGGCACCCCGTACGGGTCCGCTGCCATGTACCCTCCGCCGCCGCCGCCGCCGCCGCCGCCGCCAGGGCCGCCGCCGCCGCCGGGGCCCCCTACGCCGAGCGCCTCTGCAGCCAGCTCCATGGCGGCCGCGCGCGCCGCGGCCTGGCCCTCCGGCGTCTCATCGAGCGCGTCATGGGCCGCGAGGACGTCGGCGAATTTGAGCTCCAGCACCTGCAGCGCCTTGAGGATGACGTCACGCACCTGGGAGATGACGTCACCACGCGGCAGGGGCGAACGGGCCAACGCGTTTGGGCAGGCCGAGCGCGGGGGTTTAGCGGACAGGACAGCGTGAAAAGCTGCGTCTATCAGGAGTGACGAAGTGTAAACAGACAGGTCATGCTGTCTGCACGTTGCACGGTCTAACAGAGCGGCCCCGCCGGCCCGTCGCGTCCGGGGTCGCGCGTGCGCCTACCCTGAGCGCCCCCGTGCCCTCCACTTTGAAGATGAACTCGTCCTGCTTTGGGGTTATCTCTATCAACCCGGGCTTGCCCAGCTCCTCTGCCTGTTAAAAGGGTCGGGGCCGTGGATTGGGATCGAGGACAGGGTGAGGGAAGGGCGGGGCGTCGAGATGGCGTCGTGTGGGGATGGCTGTGCGTTGAGATGGCAGGGAGTGGGGGGGACGGCGTGGGAGCACGTGCCTGTGCAGGGCGGTCGTGGCGGCCGTCCAATGTTGCGTGCACGCGGAGTTGGGCGCGAGCCACGAGCGCCGCTGGCAGCCGCGCCACTTCAGTCTGTGACGCGAGCGATCCCGATCCGAGGCTCTTGGCGAGCCCGATTCCACTCCTTGACGCCTGGCCCCTCCCAAATAGAAGACAAGTAAGGGATTCACCCAGTGCCCCTGTGCCCGCCCCACCTTTCTGATGATCTCCTCGTCGTACATGTAGGCCTCAGGGTCGTCCACAATGATCTGAGATCGCGAGTTCGCGCAGAGGGGCCGTCACAGAACAGAGAGCCCCGCATCACCATGCACGCGGCCGCCCGGCCCCGCCGAGCGACTGCCGTTACAGCAAGACTGCCAAATCAAGCCGCCACCCCCAGCCGCCCGCCAATGTACGCCCACGTGCACCTTGCCTGCACCGACCCAACGCCCCACTCACGCACACACACACACACAAACACGCACACACACACACACACACACACACACACACACAAAAAAAACACACACACGCACACACACGCGCGCGCGCGCCCCCCCCCTAACCTGTCGCGATATGGGGTCGTACTTGAACGCGTTGCGGCCCTCCGTGTGAGGGTTGGCGTCCACCAGCTCCCGCTTCTGGTCCTCAGTCAGCTCGTCAAGCAGGGCCTGACGAGGTGGCGGCGGTTGGTGGCGGTTGGTCGGTTACTCAGTTGGTCGGTTGTCGATAGTTGGTTGAGAAAGGGGTGTGTGAGGGTAGTCGTGGTCGGGATGGCACCGTTGGCTCACAAACAGTTGGTGAACTGTTGTTTGGGTTGCTTTTCGTTGCTGTTCCGACCATTTTGTGGGCTTTGGTCAACTATTGCTGACCAGGACATGAATCGGACGGCTCCCGGGAGCGCGACGCATCCGGCTGGCTGCTTGATGGGTAGAGTGTTTTCAAATCTTGCTGATGCAATCACCAAGGGTCCTGCATTTTGCGATGGGAACCGCGCAGCCGCGACTCGTGTGTGTGGGTTTGGCCTGGGGCCAAAACCACTGCCGCCCCGCGGCTGGGAGGCGGCGGGGGGCAGTCAGCTGACAACCTGTTGTTGGGGCCACCTGGGAGCCCGGATGCGCGATCTGGCATGATGTGAGTTCTGGGGTTGTGCTTGACCCCACCTGGTTGATCTTGATCACGGGCATGAACTGGAAGGCGGCGTTGCACACGGGCATCCACTTTGCGTGGTCCTTGCCGATGCCCTTGCGCGCTATGGCCCGCAGCTTGAGCTCCTGGGGGGGGGGGTGAAGGAGTGAGTGGACGCGCGTGGTGTGTGTATGTGTGCACGCACCACGTGTGCGTGCATGTTTTGAGATTGACTGTGAGAGTGTACGCATGTGTGCGTGCATGCGAGTGTGATGGGATAGAGGGTGTTCGTGGTTTTTGAATGGTTGGGGGAAGAAACGAGGCTGGGTGGGGGGAGAGGCGAGTACGTGTCCAGGAGCATGTGGCTATTGATGACCAAGAATGCACAAATCAAGAATCAAGTATGCACAAATATGTGCGAGAGTGTGCACGTTTCCGTGCGCCACTGCTTACGCAGGCACTGCACGCCTGCGTGCAGTGCCTGCGTGCGCGGGCGCATTTGATGCAACCGCGAATAGTTGATCGTTACTATGCCTTGCAGATTCCGCCCGGCTTGGCAACAGCCCCGGCTGCTCCAACAGGCCTTCGCAGCTCTGCGCCGCGCCCGTCCCCCCACCTGCCCCTTGCGCATCTTGACCAGCACGATCGGCTTGATCGTGCACGGCGCGTTGGGCTGGTCTGGGGGCGGCTTCCACCTGACATCACAGGCAGGGGAGCGCGCGCAGGTCGCGGCGCGTCGGCTCGCATGTAATGCGAGGGAGGGGCCGGCCAGAGGTGGGGCCGCGAGGCGCAGGGCCCGCGGCAGCGCTGCAGCCTGCTCTAGGTACAACTCCCCTCCGGCCGCGGCCGCGTCGGCGCCAATAAGCGCGCGAAAAAGCGCGCGCGCCGCAGCGCGCGGCGCCGGCCCCTCGCTTCAGGCGCCATGCAAACGCCCGCCGAGCGACCACGCCCCCGCCGCCACTGCCGGCGCCACGGATCCCCGCCAGCGACCCCGGCCCCCGGCCCGCCCTGCTAAACGCGTGCCCGCCTGCGCCTGCGCCTGCGCCCATTCGGCGCAGCGGCCCGCGGCATTGCATGGTGCGCCCACCTGTCGCGCACTCTCCGCGACACTGGGATCGCGCTGTGGCCGTCCGCGGGCAGCAGATCCAGGTCCGTCACGTCCATGGTGCTGCTGCCGGTGCACTTCACGCTGAGCTCCAGCACGCACTGCACCTGGCTGTCGTCGGTGTGCGGCTCGAAGGGGCGGACCATCCTTTTGGGGGGGTGGTTGGGTTGGGTGGGGGGGACGGGTGAGGGGAGTGGAGGGATCGGCATGCGGCGGCCGCACTGCTTGCCTGTGGTGACGCATGGCCGCGGGGCGTCGTACGTTAATGCCTGGTGCCTTGATAGGCAGCCGCGGCATGGGTGACGGCGGTGGTGCAGCGGCAGCGGCGGCGCGGCGGGAGCGCACACCCGACTCACCAGTCTGCCATCTCCGACCAGAGGGGGACGAGCCCGAGGCGGTGTGCCAAGAACTCATCGTTCAGCACAGTTGTGTTGTTTTCAAACTCCACCAGGTCTATGGCGATTGTCGGCACCTCCGCTATCATCACTCGCCGCAAAGCGTTGGCCACGCTGACGTCCGTGTCCCGCAGCACAAATTCGCATTCATTGTCCGTGAGTTTTCTGATCTCCACGTTTGGATGCCGCTGCAAGGCCTGCCAAGCCATCCTGATCTACCGTGATCTACGAGCGCTGCTTGCTATAAATAGCCACCATATTATGTCGTGAGCAGAAACACGTTTTTCCCTGGCAGTGAGACAACCACCGAAGTGCAGGGCGTGTACACGCACGCAACTGAAATGAACATGACCGGCACGGGTGCGTTGACTGCTTGGTGGCGACCACGCAGCTGGCCTCTTGCCCCGTGCATGCAGCCTTGTGGCTCTATGGAAGGATTGGAAAGCTTTAAAGCTGAGCCTCTGCAGTGAATGGCACCGGTATGACAAGGCGGGCAGGTTGCAGGGCTGTGGGAGCGACAGCGCCGACTGATCTCCTGTCGGGCCTGGCAACACCTGCTGGCGGGCCCAGACTGTACCAATACAAGCGTTCCGCATGCATCTCGTGAAAGCGTAAGCCAGCACGGTTACACGTGGGTGCGCGGTGGGCGCCATGCGGCTGTTGCCTTCATCATGTCCACCGCCTTGATCACACGCCGCCATGCGCGTCTGACCCTCGGGCGCCGGCGTGAGGAGGAACTTCCGGTGTGTTTACATTTGCATCAGAGAAAGAGGGGACATTGCGGCCAACAAAGAGCAAGCAAGGGGCCCGCCCCAAGTGCATTTGTCGCAAACCCTGGAACACGCTACAAAGGGACGCCAGTCCCTCACCCGCAGCGCAACACCCCCGGCTGCGACCCGCGGGCGGCGCGTGCTTCGCAGCCGCGCGTCCGACGCTCCCGCGAGCAC